GGAACAGCTGTCCAGTACTCCCAGCTGGTTTTCCAATGGTTCTCTAACCAATGTCAGCTCATGATGAAATCCTGTAACCAGTCAAATGCCTACAAACCAACACCTGAATTTATAATTCGGTTTGATGAACATTAGCCATCATGAATGCATGATGCAATATACTACTGGCTGATTGATTTGAGTAGTTAGATAACCTTCTCATACCAATGAGTATTATTTGCTAGCCAGCCAAATAGAAATGATCCCGACACTGGAAGGCTATTTTGCTTGTTTGTAGCCGAACATACCAGTGGTGTGCGTTTGATCCAGTTTATTGCCAGTTCAGCCAAGTAACTACCCAGAATTCTGACATTTTAAACTGATTCGGTTCTCTGAGCTGAGACAAATCTGGTACATTGATGATGAGCTCGTCGCTAAACAAGTGACACGGCCATCGGATGTATAGATCGCCTCAAGTCTGGTTGGCCAGCAAACACTATTGGGTCGCATGAGTGGTATTCAACTACTAATCTCATTCAGTTAGTAGTATATAGACTTGTGCATTTTTGTTTGGTATTTTGATTACTGTTTATAGTATCAAGCAGACCAACTATTGTGATGTGAATAATTTTGGTTTCCAAAGGGAACTGTGGTGAAATTTCCTCGAACTGTGTCAAATGCAAATAGTTTGCAAACTAAGAATTTGGTATCGCTATCAGGCATTTTTGAATTACGAATATGATAAATATTCCATAGTAAAGTATCATAGGTTGTATTGCAGAAAGAATGCATTACAAGTTGAACGGAATCAGCTTTTCATTGTTGGTTACAATAACATTCTAACTGATGTCACACTTGGTCGATACTGGACATCGCATCGATGTCAACACAGCCTTCAGGATTATATACCGAATTCCGAAGTCGTTATCACGTACAGTTTGCTTACGTCTCCTACACATAGCTGAGGCTGTTGCAATAAGATCGACTAAACCGGAACTTTGTGTCCAAAAAGAACACACGCCCAGACGCTGTTCCTACCCTGGCCAAGCTTGGATCGATGATTCTTCTTCTCACCAAGAGTGCTCCTTCCCCTTAACCCTCTTGATTTTTTCCTTTGCTTATTATTACAATTAATATTATTATTCGTCATAATTTATGCCATTCATGCAAACATTCTCTCAATACTATCGAATTTTTCATTTATACTATCCGGACTTATTATTAGTGATATTATCTCTTTTTTCAATATATGCCTCCACCTGTTTCATTTCATATATTCGTTATCTCATTATGAACCTCTCATTGCAGTCTTACTATCTCCTGTTTAATACATACCACTTTATACTAGCCACTCACTCACCTGACACCTTTTATAACCTTGGCCTGACTTGTCAGTTTTCCTACCCCACACTCTACGAATTTATTATGATTAGTCACCACCACTGTCTCCCACTTTACAATATTTTGTAATCGATTTCAGCCTAGCACGTTTGTCACACAAATACGACTATTTATTTTGACACTCCATAACTAATCTGTTATTCTACGTTAAAAATGTATCCACCGCATAACTGGCCTTTATTGTAACGACAACAAATATTATATTTTATAATTGTAAGAAGCTGAAGAAGAATTATTAGAAAGAATATTCTTCGTTAAGATTGACTTTTAATTCATGATATGGGAATATTTCACACTATTAAATTTGTTATTCGCCCAAATATTTACTTGATATGAGGCATAACCCTATAAAAAGCCTGTACTTAAATATGGTAGATTTCTACTCATGTTACAATTATATTTCCTGGAAAATTCCCATTGGGACAACCAAAACAAGTGATTTAGCGAAGAGACTCTTTTTATCAACGAATTTATTATCCAGCTGTATAATCGTATATATATATATATATATATTATATATGGTTTTTATAAGAAATTACATCCGGTGAGGGAATCGAATCATAGGTGTGAATACATTAAATAATAATAGTAGTATGAAATACAATTAAAGTGTTTGTCATTATAATCATAGTTAAACGTCAAGCGGCAAAATAATTAATGTCATATGTAGAGCAATTCATAGGATGTATAGAACTTGGAAAGGGTGCGAAATTATAGGATTAGTAGCCAAACAGAATAAAAACGAAAACGTTACGTAACATTCTGTGAAATTTGGTAGCATAGAGTCTAACGTTGCAAAACAAAGCTGATTTAAAATGACAAGTGGAACAAGTGAAACAATACCGGAGACAATTCAGTGTTAGAATAGTAATAGTAACAACTGTCGTAATAAAGGAAGAGTATACAAATTGAATAAACAAAACGGAAAAATCGGTGGAGCAAAAATAGGATTAGAGATGATGATACTTTAGCATAGAGGGATTAAGATCATGAAAGTTGGAAGGGTTGAACGAACTTTTTGTGTAAACGGAGATCTGACTTTTCTGTTTTGGTGACCAAATCTTCAGCAATACAGATGAGTCAAATTACTTTTCGCCTTGTCGATGACTTTAAAAGCGGAGGCTGTAGAGATAGAGTGATCATTATTGATCAGATATTCAATGATTGCCCTTCTTATTGTTCCACTACTACCTCTTCGGAACCCTGCATGAAAGTGTTATTGCACCCTTTTGAAAAAAAATCAAGTCGAACGACCGATATACCTAGCTTGAAACGAGCACATGAACTGATAAACACACATAGCATTGTTTAACTGTGGGATTTTATCCTTCAGGTTATTGGACAATAATGGTTGACTGGAAAACGCTATTCTCAACTATGCAGGAAGAAGTATTCTACTCAGGGAATGTCAGATCCTTCTTTTAATGATATCGAAGCTAAGTAACCTTTGAATTCCGACCTTTTGTACAGTATTTTCTTGGTTACATATGATAAGTCGCATTTGTATACTCTTCCTTTATTACGTCAATTGTTACAATTACTATTCTCACACTGAATTGTCCCCGGTATTATTTCGCTTGTTCCACTTGTCATTCTAAATCAGCTTTGTTTTGCAACGTTAGACTCTATGCTACCAAATTTCACAGAATGTTACGTAAGGTTTCCGTTTTTATCCTTTTTGCCTTCTAATCATATAATTTCACACCCCTTTGAAGTCCCATACATCCTATACATTGCTCTATATGTGACATTAATTATTTTGCTGCTTGTCATTTAACTATGATTACAATCACAAACACATTAATTGCATCTCATACTACTATTATTATTTAATGTATTCACACCTATGATTCGATTCCCTCACCGGATATAATTCCTTCAAAACAACCATATGCATTCGACTGCTTCTTAGGGTAGCATTCAAGCCTACAAACTCACTCACACAGGACAAGCTATGTAGGCTAAAGGATCCAGTGGACCCAATTAAACAAAATAATATAATTTACAAAATACCATGCAATGACTGTGAATGAGGTCAACTACATAGGTCACACTAGTAGACCGGGGATAATCAGATTGTCGGAACACAAAAATTTAGCAAAGGTGAGAATGGTTGACCCCGAGAAGATGAGTAATTTAGAAAAACACTCACCGATTGCACTGCATGCATTAACACACAGCCACACAATAGGATGGTGGGAGAGGGTTGAAATTCTAAGAAGTAATCTAGGTAGGTGGAGAGAGAGATTGATTACTGAATCCTGCCTGGTACATCGAGTCTACATACAACACATGCAACAGAAATGACTCAATGCACATACCAGAAATATGCATGGAAGATATTATTATCACCAGTCAGTCAAATCATAGGAGGATGATAAATAATCCCAAAATCCTATTTCACTTCACGTACATCATAACATTCTAACAAGTTACTTATATTGACTATGAAAACACTCGTCTTATTTCTGCTCCGATTGTGCTTGACTGATAACACTCATATTATTATTATTTCTGAATGTACATTATCCTGTGTTGATATTTATTCAAATGTCTAATCATCAATTCCGCTCATGTATATAAATGAAGCAAGAGAGTTGTGTGAGTGAGTGACTTGATAGGATTATGAGCAGTAATAAGTTGTGCTCAAAAAGTGGTCATCAGTTAATATTACTGTATAACACTGTGTGATTTATCAAAATAAAATCTTATCTATAATGGAGTTATACTCTACCACAGTGCCTAAGTTTTATACTTACTTCTCATCTGTCATTTCCTAAAAACACTTCTATTAACCAAAAAAGATTTCGCGTTATTCAGCTGATTCGCTTCATCCTTCTTTCATTACCCTAATGATTCCAAGGGTTACATTAGCTTTCTGTAATGCTTAACAGTTCAGTGTATATATGATAACTTTCCCATTCAGTTTAACAAAGAAAACTTCGCAATAATTTGTCCCCTAACGAATTCATTTTCCTTAATACTTTACTGCAGAGAACTCTTCATTTCCTGAACTGTTCCTTTATCATGTTCACAGTGATATATGCTAAACATCACTAGTTCCATATCTGTTCATAGGTAGACTGCATGCCTTTGTAATGTGACGGCATAGCTTTATCATCAAGCGCCTTATCTCTCAGCAACTGTGTTAACTAACAACTACTATAGATAGTTTGATTAATCGATAAGCAAATACGAGAAAAGATTTTCTCGGATTCATTTAGCTTTTGACCACTTTTTGTCTTAAATTACGGTAAGTGTTCTAGGGTGGTTATCATATTATTGCTGATACAGTGCGTCGATGGTTTAGCGGTTCAATGTTCACCAACCACGCATGTCTTCTGAAATTCGATTCGCTGCCTTCGCGCTACTGGACCTTGCTTGGTTAACCACCCAACAGTAGGCTTTAACAGTAAAGCTCTAGCTTCCACTCGGAACTCAAAGGATGAAAACGGGAGAGTGAATACTAGTTACTGATATGTTTCCTTCTCCAATCTGACGTAATACATTTTTTAAATTTTCTCTTGATATTCTTGTAATCATTTTTTTTGAGCATATTTTGAATATAGGAACGATATTATGCCTAAGTACTTTATTTATTTATATTTTTATTGTTAAAGAGTGATTATGAAAAACTCGTTGGTCTTCCAGTTGCACCATTTATGGATCGTCATAAAGTAACTAAATCTGCTAGTCAATGTGGTTTCATCCGTTTTGTTATTCTGCCACTATTTGAGTCTCTAGCAAAGTTATTACCAGAAGTTAAGGTACGTTTTAACATACTCTTTATTTTTATATCCTTTTTTCTCCTATGCATTGATAAACTCAAGTATGTGTTCAGTATTAGGTGGTGTACTTAAACCTTATTATTTACCCTTATTCCCTTGGGTTCTGAGTGAAACAGGGCTTCAACCAAACATCTCTACTTTCTTCTATTTTCTGCCAGCGAAGGTGGCAGCTGTTGATAAAAGTCTTCAACCTCTTTGAAATCATTTTCTGACCCGTGTAGAAGAACCCACTTCACAGTAGTGTTGAAAATGCGAATCTTGTTCCTTATGCTGGCTGAGTTAGCACAGAAGATTTCGAAACTGATTTTAGGTTAATGAAAGTGTATCTTACCTTTCTGATTCTTATTTTGACGTCTTCATCCGTTCCACCTGCATTTGGAGCGATGCTTCCTAGATAAGTGAAGGAGGTAATCTCTGCCAAATCTCTCCCGCTGATGGTGATTGGGTGCTGTTTGTTGTTTTTGCTGTTGGTTGATTGGTTATCTTCATCACCTCCGTCTTCCCTATGTTCACCTGCAGTTATGTCTTCATTGGTTGCATCTTCAGCCAGTTTATTGGTTCCCACCTTTAGGTGTTCGAGTTAAGGTGACATTAAACATAAATCGTCCGCACGCGAAATCCAGATCTTCCATAGTCTTCCTATTGGTGTCCAGCGTATTCCTGTCTTCTCACTCCACACACACATCTGACGCATAATCCAATCCACTACGATTAAGAATAGCATCGTTGGTGATAAAGGCAGCCAGCTTGTCTTACTCTTGTGTTCACTTCGAACACCCCACTTAGATTTCCTTTGCGGATCACCTGACACTTGACATTGTCATATGACCAGCTGTTGAATGAGGTTGATAGATATTTGATCACTGCACGCCGTAGTGTTGAACCAGTTTCGACATAACTTTTCGATCTACGCTGCTTAAGGCCTTTTCGAAGTCTGTGAAGTTGAGGTAGAGGTCTGACTGCCACTTTATGCTTTGTTCTGGGATGACGATAAGTAGAGTTGCAATTTTATCAGCACATGATTTGTCATTCCTGAATCCAGCGTTTTCCGGTGGGTGGTGGAGTTCTGTATGCAATGCACTTTTTACTCTCATTATGGAACCTTTTAGACTAACCTTTTAGTAGTAATCTAAATTCTATAAATTTTGGATTAGGATAAACAAAATTCATCTTTCTTACAAACAGAGTTGTTTGAAGCACAAGCTTCCAAAATGTTTAAATCATTGGCTACCTGAATACCATTTACATAGGAGTAGTCGAGGAAATTTCAATCTGCTGAACCTGAAATCTAACCTGAGGTCTAACCCCCCATGGATGAGTGCCGATGAAGAATCCCAGACTAGGGCGAATCAGCTGTTTTGTACTCTCTAGTTTTCAAAATAATTCTATAACTGATGTTAGATCGTCACTGATTCGCCACAAATCAACACTTGATATTTCTGTAAATAAATTAGTTATTTTGCATAAAATATCTTTCGTGTAGTGACCCCTATGATGAGTCCCGAAATAGGACGAAACAGCTGTACAGTAAGTATTCCATGGTTTGTTTACAATAGTTCTCTAACTGAAATCAATCCATGGTTAGACTTGAAATCAAATCCCTGCAAATCAACTCTTAAAAACAGTTTCCCATGTGCATTTCTAATGTGGTTGCGTCGTCTGAGCTGGACAATTTCACAACGAAGCTTTCATTCTCCTTCTAGACATCAAGTTTACTGCCTACTTAAATATGAAGTAGTGAACTTATTCGAATTCTCTATGAATGATATCATTGTATGTCCATATATGATTGCTAATTTGTATCAATGCTGATCGCAGTTACACCAACCAGCTCAGAGAACACGATCACATTAAAATCATTCTTTTGAAGTACAAATCGTCTCTGTTATTTCAATACACACCTGCTGAGTTTTTTCCATTCCCCACTGTGTTTCGAGTGAAACATAAGGCTTCAAGTTTTGGAAGTTTCAGTAGAGGTGGTGCTTCGTTTAACAGACTAGGGTTGGAAGCCTCATGCCTAACCTTCACCCTTTTCCGGGCCTGCTATCCACTGGTGAGATATGGGAGTGATTCAACCATGAATCGAACTCAAACCGGTGAACATCCTGCCGTTGAATAACCAACGTATGCAGGATAATGTGACAACACATTTCCAGAAATGTGACAACAACATACAAAGTTTATGTGCCATATTATAATACAGCAGCTAGAAGGCAAGTTTCCATCTAGTCTGCATGCTTCAATTCATTACAATGACAACCAAAGTTTTTATAAGTTCAAAAATTCTTTCACTTCACAGATCGATTACACATACATCTAGATTGTTCCATTTACGTTCCATGCAGAACAGAGTACTTCAAGCTACAAGCTTTGAATTTTCAGTAGTTGATTTCCAGATGAGTTTGCTGGCATCCTACCAAACTTTCCCTCCTTATCGTGTTTACTTCCCGGCTAAGCAAGGTTTAGGAGTGCGTCGGACGCGAATGGAAATCTAAACCACGTAAGCACCTACAACTCACCATCAGGGATCGAAACCCTAAGACCTTCAGGTTATTAGACGAAGCTCGTTGACCATTCAGCCACTTCAGACGGTCAGAATTCAGTGCCTCGTGAATTCTAACTTCGATAAAGAAAAGAAAGATGAAATCTGCAGTATAAAACGATACCGTCATTCTATTTCACAGGTTCTCATCAGCTGCAGACTGCCGGATATTACAATGAGAATAACATACTTTAATTTTTGAGTGGTGGTAGAGAAGAGATACTATAAAATTGACGCATCCAAAATGAAAGCATTACAATTTTTAGTTTAAGATTTCATCATCAATTTATACGCTTTCAAAGTTGAAAAGAGGGGGGAGGGGTGAGACAGAAAACAGAAAAATTTATGAACAGAATAGTGTTAGCTTTTTGGGTTTACATAGCAACTCAAAAAACA